ATATATATACATATATATATATATATATATATATATACATATATATATATATATATACATAGAGGAACGAAAAGAAAAAAAAAGAAGGAAAATAACGAGAGAGAAAGAAGGAAAGAGAATAAAAGGAAAATAAAGAAAGAAGTAAACAGAAATAAATGGAAAAGTAAAATTGATAACGAAATAACCGAAGAAAATATAACTCATGACGAAACACAAGTCATGACGACGAAGGAAGAAAAATGTGAAAAGAGAAAAAAAAACAAAAAATCTTAAAACAAAGCTGTCTTGAGAAAAAAAATCTTTCTTGTGATACAATTTTCAACGAAGCAATTTCACGAGAAAAGAGAAGAGAGAGGTAGGAAAACAAAGAGAGAGATGAGAAAGGGAATGAAAGAAACTGCTCGTCAGCCATGAGAGAGGGGGGAGGGACAGGCTCGAGGGAGGAGGGGGGAGGGGGACGAGGGGGGGAGGAGGGAAACGGCACACGAGACAAGACACGAGTCACACAAAACAAAACATAAAAATAACAAAGGCAATCCCAGATATAAAACAAACATACATACAAACAAAAGACACAAAATAAACAAACAAACAAACAAATGGACACAAACACACGCAAACACACTGGGAAAAGATTAGAAGATGCACGGTTAAAAAAAGCGACCCTTTGTAAGGTACCCGCCTTCACCTATTTCGCGAGACGGAGGGTGGGAGGAAGGCCTCTTAAGAACACCCGCCTCAAGGATCACTTCCTCAAGGATCACCTCCTCAAGGAACACCTCCACTCCCAGCACCTCCTCCTCCTCCTCCTCAAGACCATCACCTCATCCAGCTCCTCCTCCTTCAAGAAACACGGTCTGTCCTCCTCAGTACCCGCGTCGCCACGGTCCCCACGCCTCGAACGAGTGTAACTTGCGACGGAATGAAACAGGTTTGTGTCTTTTAATTACTCTTGTTTCATTTGCTTCTAAAGAGGCAATATGGTGGTGTAGATTGAGTGATACTTAAACGAAATAGGTTTTCGACTATACATATATATATATATATATACATATATATATATATATATATATATATACATATATATATATACATATATATATATACATATATATATATACATATATATATATACATATATATATATATATATATATATATATATATATATATATATATATATATATATATATATTGTTGTTTTAAACTCCAAAGAGGCAGTGCAATGGTGGGGATTGAGTGATACTTAAACGAAATAGGTTTTTGACATAATATATATATATATATATATATATATATATATATATTTGTTTTTCTTGTTTTAAATTCCAAAGTGGGAGAGTAACCGGTGATAAAAAGTGAGTGATAAAAAAGTCTCTTTTTTGTTCTATTTAATTCCACTGAGGCAATGTAACGGTGGGGACTCAGTGATGTATTAAACGAAATAGATTGTCTTTTTTTCTAACTAATTTTCTAACAAGCGTTATAATGGTAGGGACTGCGTGACATACAAACTAAAATATAGGTAATGCCTTTAATTATTTTCCTTTACTTCCAAAGAGGCAATGTAATAATGGGTACTGAGTGATGATCTAAGGATTACACAGAAGGATTTCTACGTATCTTGGAGGATGTGTGTGGGAATCCTATTCTTGTATATTCCTTAACCCAATGGTACCGGGGAAAATGAACAAAAAATGGAGAATATGCTGTGCCCACTTTCTATGTTTTTCGTGAAATGTCTGCCGATAGATGGCTCTGCTAGCGCCTGATTTGAAATGGCGGGAAAAACGTACTTTTCACTAGTGCTATGAAAATCGATGGTGTTATCTTTATCATAAACATTATAATTTTTATAATGTTTTTTTAACATTAGTAACAGTAAAATAAGATTACGTAAAATATTTTGTAAATCAAAGAAACGAGTAAACGGGCGGTGCTCTAGTTGGCTCATTGGTGATTTAGTACAAGTGTTGCCATCTATGCGTAAAAACAATCAAACAAGTACTCACGGTGGGCATAGCACGTACGTACACGTCATACCCGGCACCAATGGGTTAAGAGTTTTGAACATTCTGCTGGTGAGTGAATTATACTGTGATGTTTTGTGTGTGTTAGTTTTAATCTAGTTTATTTATTTATTTTTTGTTTAAGATCAGTGATATTCATATTCATGTCTACATCTAGATATAAATGGAATTCTTTATTGTAGAGTCTCTCTCTGTTATTATGCTGATGATTAATGATAAGAAAATAATATTAATGATAATAATGATAAAGAATAATGATAACATATCACAAACAATAGGAACATATAAAAATAAATAGTAATAACAGCAACAACAACAACAAATAATAATATTGATAATAATGATAATAAAAATAATAATAATGATAATCATAATAAAACAAATAATAATGGCGATGCTTATGACACAAATATGAACAATAATAATAAAAAAATAGTAATAATAACAGTACTAAAGATAATGTGAAAATGATAACTATAACTTGAAAAGCAAATCATTTCATTCTGAATTCAAATTGCCATTTTCTACTGACACTTCTGACACCTTATGCAGTAGAAAATAGCACACAGACACTCGCTCTTATCAGCACTTTCACACACACACACACAAACGCGTTCGGATACACATATAAACCTAGTTACTTTTGCCTACTATTCATTATAAAGCAACACATGCTTACTAAATCCCGGGGTGATGCTTTCCGGCTCGACTCTGACCCCAACATGCTGACGTCAGCGTGCTGGTACTCACTCACAGCTGAGTCGACTGAGAGGGGCGGTGGTCGGTCGCGAACCCAGGACCTTGCGATTGCAAAGCCAGCTCTAAACCACTGAACTATGCCATCTCCAGTATTGATAATAGTAATAGGATAATACTGTTATAATTATAATGTGAATAATAATAATTATAAAGTTATGTAGACTACAGCTGTGGAGTTTTTTGGTATTGGCAGTGACCAAATACAACTAATAATACTGATAGCAATGATTATTATTATGACATCACAATTTCCATCATTGCTATTAATAATTAAAAAAGGGACGTTTGGTTTGATTTTAAATAAATACCGAAGTTAGTGACGTTTTAATTTTTCCTTATGGCCTTTTCACAAATTGTTTGTTTTGTTTTATTCCCACAAATCTCATCTCATCAGACACACTTGATAATAGTAATAGGATAATACTGATAGAATTATAATGTGAATAATAATAATTATAAAGTTATGTAGACTACAGCTGTGGAGTTTTTTGGTATTGGCAGTGACCAAATACAACTAATAATACTGATAGCAATGATTGTTATTATGACATCACAATTACCATCATTGCTATTAATAATTAAAAAAGGGACGTTTGGTTTGATTTTATATAAATACCGAAGTTAGTGACGTTTTAATTTTTCCTTATGGCCTTTTCACAAATTGTTTGTTTTGTTTTATTCCACAAATCTCATCTCATCAGACACACTCACACACACACACACACACACACTATGACTTACAGCCGCACCTTTACAAATTAAAAACGACCAAAAAAAAGGGAAAACCATATATTTTCTATTAGATGTAATATAGAAAAAAACAATACCTCATTTACACTAGTAACTGATACAAAAAAAAACACTTCCAAATGTCTCAACACTAGGAAAGAATTACACAAAAAACAAATCTTACATTAAAAAGCAAAATATATAATCACAAACGTAAATGTTAAAGACTCGATTAATGTGATTAATACATACCTGCATACAGTACAGACAATAAAACATTATATATATACTCGCATAGACTGTCCCGTACAAAGACAACATATTATACCTAAGATTTCAAATGATCTTATTTTTTTTTTACCTTGAGACACATTTATATTAATCTTAGGCGTAGCAAGACACAAGCAAAATCAGCACTTATAGGCAAGTGTTTACAGGATATTTTTGAAAATGTTGAGCCTGCAATGTTAATATCTTGATTCCTTTTTTTTTTGGACAGATCAAGCAGTGTTAAAGAGAAAGAGAGAGAAAGAGAGAGAGAGAGAGAGAGAGAGAGAGAGAGAGAGAGAGAGAGAGAGAGAGAGAGAGAGAGAGGAGAGAGAGAGAGAGAGAGAGGAGGGGGGAGGGGGAGGGGGAGGGGGAGGGAGAGTGAGGGAGAGAGAGAGAGAGAGAGAGAGAGAGAGAGAGAGAGAGAGAGAGAGAGAGAGAGAGAGAGAGAGAGAGGAGGAGGGAGAGAGAGAGAGAGAGAGAGAGAGAGAGAGAGAGAGAGAGAGAGAGAGAGAGAGAGAGAGAGAGAGAGAGAGAGAAGAGAGAGAGAGAGAGAGAGAGAGAGAACTAGGAGGGTGAGATACTGAAACAAGAATTCCAAAAAAAAGGAAGAGAGAAAGAGAAAAAAAGAGGATGATGAAAAAAAGTGTATTGTACGATTTCACTTTCAGTTAACTTAATATTTTTTGAAGTTACAACCGGCGTATATGTTGCAAGCATGTTGTCTGAAAACTAATGGAGTAACCTACCTACTATAAAGTTAGCAAGTATATACCATTAGCAGCATATTAATTGCCAAGAGACAGACAGAGAGTAAAAGGGGCGGGGCTAAAGTGTAAGAACAGCTAACAGTATCCTTTTCATTTTTGAAGCAAGATGCAATTGACGGATTGTTGGCAATTGATGGCATGTTGAGAAATTGGTGATGATAATAAGGTGTTGATACGTGACAGATATAGATCATAAACCCTCTGATATATAGCAAAGCCATCTTGCACATGTTGCATTCAAACGCATCACCAACATCTCAAACGCATCTCCGCCCCCAGTAAAGAAAACAAAATATACTGCAATTACATCCTTATTCGATACCGGCACCTACAATACAGCTATCTCTTCTTAAAATTTCCTTCTGTTTTTTTTTTTTTTTTTTTTTTTTTCTTGTTTTTTTTTTTTTTTTTTTGCGTGCGTGGGTGCGTGCGTGCTAGTACTTACGTCGGAGATGGGTTGCGTGTGGTTCAGTTCGCTGAGGGAGAAGATGAGACTCCTGCGCTGCTCTCCGGGGATGCGGCGGTTGGCGAGCAGGTCGGCCATCTGGTGGCACTGCGGAGAAGGAGCGGGAAATGACCAAAAGAGGAAAGTGACGAAGAGAGGGAAATGACAAAAAGGGGGAAATGACGGAAAGGGGAGTGGCGAAGAGAGAGAAATGATGGAAAGGGGGTAGTGACGAAGAGAGGGAAATGACTGAAAGAGGAAAGTGACGAACAGAGGGGAATGACCGAAAGAGGAAAGTGACGAAAAAAGGGAAATGACGGAAAGGGGAAGGTAACGAAAAGAGTGAAATGAATAAAAGAGAAACGACCAATAAAAAAAAGAAATGACAGAACGAGGAATGTGACCTAAAGAGTGAAATGACAAGGGTGAAAGAAATATAAAAGTATACTTGAATATATACAAAAAAGTCATTAGTTTTCACATATTCATTCATTATTTTAATATATTTATTGCTATTATTATTAAATTAATTATCTACTTAAACTATGAATACTTTCAACAAAAACTCTACGGTTTATTTCCATCACGTTTCACATACCAAGGTTTGTTCGACTTTATCATCATTTATTGTTTTTCTTATTATTATCAATATTATCATTACTATTGCTATTACTATAGCTCACCCTCATAATCATGATTATTGTAATCATTATTATCAATATCATCGTTATCATTATTATCAATGTTATCATTATCATTATTATCAGTACTCTTATTATTATCATAATAATCATCAGTATAGTTATAATCGTTATGCTTATCATTATGATTTTACTGTTATTACTATTATCACTATTATTATTATTATAATAATAATTATTATTATTATTAATTTTCATTATTATCATTATTATGATCCTCACCATCACTATCATCAATCACTGTCACTGTCTTCCAAATCATTATTATCAACTAATTAATTTTCCACACTTGTGAATCTGTCGTAAGCGATCACCTATATGTCATTTGCATTTTCTCGGTCAAAAAAGTTAATATAGTCTAATATATCATTAGCTATAGAAGAGTTATATTTTAGATCAGCGATATGATACTGCGATATTAATGTTATTATTAGATATATGATATACTGTAGCTTCTTTATCTAAAGGACTTAATAACTGTTTAAATTCCCCATCTGATCTTGTAGACAATACATTTTCCATTGCAGAGTTATTGTCCAATTATGAATACTACGTAAGATAAGGTATACATTTCACATCATAAAAATATACTTCTACGTAAAGCCTAGTCCAGATATATTGTATCGAAACAGTTGAGCAATAATATATCTTTACTATCCCGATACAGATACTCAAAACTGAGCAGCATTCCAAATTTGTTGCGCCACAATTTATCAACTGTTGCGAAACAGTCGCGAAACACGAGCGACTTTATCCAGCGGCTGTTGTGAGGTACACTGGCGCCAATTTGTATCTGCATTGTTTCGCGGCAGCTATACATTACTGTACGTCCAGACCAAGCTGCACTTAACCTCCCGTAAATTGTGAGGGGAACTTAGCACCACTATCAGTCCAGGTCTCTTTTCTGCTGTCCAAATTTTGAACCTGGAAAAAATACTACCTGCATAAAGTAACAAAATAAACAGCAGACGTGGAAGGAAACAAAAATCACGAAGTTACAATGACACACATAGCTTAGTGCGGTCAGATAAAAATGTCTTTTCGCGCAACTGTATCGACTCACTTAGGTTAGCGCCATCAGAAGCCTAGTATTTGTATTTTTAATATACTCAGTACGTAATGTCAAGAGTTAGATGACTTTACATTAACGTGCCTGCCTAGATTAAGGTGCCTGTCCGTTTATTCTGTTTGTTACAATATGATCTTCTATGCTTTATTATTAAAGTTCGAGGACTTACTGAGCATGGTAGATGGTCACAAGCTCCGGCTGCACTTTAAAGTAGTAAAAGTGATGTTGTTATAGTGGCAGGATAAGCTGGCAGCACAATAATTCAAAGTTAATTGCTTTTTGACATTACGTACAGATTATTTTCAAAACACAAAATACGTAGGCTTTTAACGGAACTAAGCTCTGTGAGATATTATAGCTGCGTGAGAGGTATTTTTTTATCATTGTTATTATTTTGCCAGTACTTAGATCTTATTAGTCATTACATCTGCCTAAGATACTATTTTTATTATATTTTATCAAGCTTTTACCTCTTTATTGCTAGTGCGACGCTTCATTAATTATGTAGTGACTAGCCTGCAGTATACATGCGATTTCACAGCATAATGTAGATTCGATAAACCCGCGGCACACGTATTTCCCTGCATTCCATCACACACTATTTAAAACAACACCACAACCGAGCACAAGCCAGCAGGCCGACAGATGGTGGCGAGTCATGTTTGTATCGTGTTTCCCATATCCAGCGGGAAACACACACAAACACGCAAAGTCTTGTCTCGAAACTCTCACTGCTGAACTGGTGAGTTTCTTTTCAAATACTTTGTTGCGGGCTGTTGCTCAACTGAGTGTCTTGGTCTGGACGTGGGTATGAATTCAAAAAGGTTTCGAAACAATTGCGAGATATTTTGGAATCTGTTGAGCAGCTGTTTCAGATACAGTGTTGAACAATAATGTATCTTAGTCTAGACTAGCCTTTAGAGTTAGAATTAGTAATTCATATTTTCAGTTATGGTCAAGATAGAAGTTATTGAGAAAAATTGTCTACCCTATAGAAACACACTTACTTAAAATCAAGTTGATACTCATTTATACGATTAATAACTGCAGTTTTGCGTTTATGTTTGTGCGTATATGCATGTGTATACTGTGTGTGTGTGTGTGTGTGTGTGTGTGTGTGTGTGTGTGTGTGTGTGTGTGTGTGTGTGTGTGTGTGTGTGTGTGTGTATGTGTGTGTGTGTGTGTGTGTGTGTGTGTGTGTGTGTGTGTGTGTGTGTGTATATTGTGTGTGTGTGTGTGTGTGTGTGTGTGTGTGTGTGTGCGTGTGTGCGTGTGTGTGTGTGCGTGTGTGTGTGTGCGTGTGTATGTGTGTTTCTTTTCTTTTACTTAAAAAAAAAAATACTGAAAAAGGGACAACACATCCGAAGTCCATCTTGCCAAGATCCTATTCATCATTCACAATAGGAAATGACCCCGTCAAATATTCACCGCCCTCCCTCCCTCCCTCCCTCCCTCTCCCTGGCACCCCTTGCCACACTCCCCCCCCCTCACCCTGACACCTCTCCCTCTCGCTGAGATCCCTTCCCCCTCCCCTCCCTCCCGTCCACGCCCTGACACCCCCTACCCCCATATACCTATCAATTGACCTAAGTTTACCTGGTTCTCGAATTCGGCGAGGATGCCCTTGGTGATGGCGAGAGCGGAGGGCAGTGACCTCCGCGCGGCGACGGACACGTGGACTTGGTCAGCGTAGGTCAGCACGGTCACACTCACAGGCGTTGGGTCGCGGGGAGGGGACACGTTGTAAATATGTTTCACGGTGTAGCTGCAATATCAGGGGAGAGGTCATAGTAAGGGGGGGGGTAGGTTACTGGGGAGGGAAGTCAGTCAGAGGGAGGTCATAGTAGGGGGGGGGGTAGAGGGGGAAGGTCAGAGTGGGGAGGGGATAGAGGGGAAAGGTCAGAGTGGGGAGGGGAGAGGGGGAGGTCAGAGTGGGGAGGGGAGAGAGTGGGGAGGAGAGACAGGGAGGAGGCCAGAGTGGGGGAGAGTTAGGGTGGGATGTTAAAGGGGAGGGAAGGGTCAGAGAGGGAGAGGTCAGAGAAAGAGGTCAGAGGGGAGGAGGGCAGGGCAAGGCAGGGTCGAATTATGACCTTTTGGCCCCCCCCCCCTCTAGTATGGACTGAGGGCCCCCAAGATTTATAACTCGGGCTCCTTGACTCATAAAAGGGCGTCAGACAAGGGCCCTCTATCTCAAATCAGCCTCCTCAAACATATTTATTGTTGTTATTATTACTACTACCAAAATGATCATTAACATTATTATCAACCAACTATACATATCGATATTACTATCATTAGCCTTATCGCTATCCGTATTATTACCATCACCACTGTAATTATCACTCTTATCATCAACATTTATATCACTATCATTATGATTGCTATAATTACGATCTATCATTATCATCATTACGATTATTAATATCATCATTATAATAATCATTACTATTACTATTAAGGTTACCATTATTATCATTACGATTATCATTATCATCATTATAATAATCTTTATCATCATTACGATTATTAATATCATCATTACAATAATCTTTATCATCATTACGATTATTAATATCATTATAATAATCTTTATCATCATTACGATTATTAATATCATCATTATAATAATCTTTATCATCATTACGATTATTAATATCATCATTACAATAATCATTACTCTTACTATCAAGGTCATCATCCTTATTATCATCATCATCATCATCATCACGACCATCATATAATCATCCTCCTTATCATCATCTTTATCACCCTACCCCTATTTCCTTTATCCTAACTCTCACGACTCCTTATCAGCATCTTACCCGCCGAGGAGGAGCGAGGTGGTGGGGCCCGGAAGTGACGAATACTGCAGGGACATCCTCTGGTGGAGGCGCTGAAGGAGGCCCCGCGCCCACGAGCCAGGGAGGAGACGGTACGCCCACCACACCAAGCCGTAAGACACGACCGGATCCGCTGATGCCTGTAGAAGGAGAGGAAGAAGAAGGAAGAGGAGAATGAGGTTTATTTGTTTGTTTCTTTGCGTGTGTGGGGCGAGGTGGGGGTGGGTGGGGTGTGGGCGGTGGGGGATGGAGGTTTGTGTGTGAGGGAGGGGGTGTTGGAGGTGGGGGGGGAGGGATAGAAAGAGAGAAGAGGAGCTCTCTCTTTCTTTCTTCTCTCTCGGTCTCTATCTCCTTCTTATCTTTTCTTCGATATATAGATAACAAGAGATCGAGATGGAAATATTGACAGATAGATAGAAAACAGAAAAAATAAAAAGACTGATAGATAGATAAATAGGGAGAGGGAGGGAGGGAGGGAGGGAGGGAGGGAGGGAGAGAGAGGGAAAGAAAGAGGGAGAGAGAAAAGAGAGGGAAAGAAAGAGAGGGAAATAGAGAGAGAGAGAAAGAGAGAGAGAGAGAGAGAGAGAGAGAGAGAGAGAGAGAGAGAGAGAGAGAGAGAGAGAGAGAAAGAGAGAGAGAGGGAGAGAGAGAAAGAGAGAAAGAGAGAGAGAGAGAGAGAGAGAGAGAGAGAGAGAGAGAGAGAGAGAGAGAGGGAGGGAGGGGGGGGGGGAGAGAGAGAGAGAGAGAGAGAGAGAGAGAGAGAGAGAGAGAGAGAGAGAGAGAGAGAGAGAGAGAGAAAGAGAGAGAGAGAGAGAGAAAGAGAGAGAGAGAGAGAGAGAGAGAGAGAGAGAGAGAGAGAGAGAGAGAGAGAGAGAAGAGAAAGAGAGAGAGAGAGAGAGAGAGAGAGAGAGAGAGAGAGAGAGAGAAGAGAAAGAGAGAGAGAGAGAGAGAGAGAGAGAGAGAGAGAGAGAGAGAGAGAGAGAGAGAGAGAGAGAAGAGAAAGAGAGAGAGAGAGAGAGAGAGAGAGAGAGAGAGAGAGAGAGAGGAGAGAGAGAGAGAGAGAGAGAGAGAGAGAGAGAGAGAGAGAGAGAGAGAGAGAGAGAGAGAGAACAGAATAAAAAAAAAAAACACACCCAGAAAACACATACCAGCAAAGATTACAAATTCAATAAGCAAAACAGAAATCTTCGATAAATAAAAAAGATAGAGAAAAGAAGGCAAACAAAAGAAGAAAGAAGACAGAGTTGCAAAATCAATGCCATTGCAAGATAAGGAATCAATGAACAGCCGTTATCGAAAATATGTGCGTTTTTCTGTGGTCGCTCGCCATTCGACCAAAGAATAATAAAATATATCGCTGAGATTTACTACAAAAAAGAAAAGAAAATAGAGATAAAAAAGTGCGGCACAATAACAATATTTTTTTTTACGTCATAGGATAACAGTATAAAAATAATAATGATCATATAAATATAAATTTAAAAAAATAATAAGCACGTGGGCGAAAAAACCTTGAATGATTTTGAATAAATCGAGTCTTAAGTCCAAGCATTTCACTTCGCATCGATTGAATAAATGAATAACGGCAGTGAATAATTAAGACCCCAAGCTCTCTCCGACCCACTGCTCCGAAGGGTATGATTATTGCCTAATTACACCGCCATTAAGGCTCATGAATGGATCACGGAGTTCGAGGCACGTCTGGCGATATCTGGCAACTCAAGTGCAGTTTTTTTTCCTCGAAAGAAAAATGGCGCCAAAGTCTGTTGCTTATTGTATGTTTCGTGTAAAATGTAGGGGAGGATTGGCAAAAAAAAGTGCATTGCTTTAAACTTATTGGTGTATATGGTAACTTTTCTAAAGTAGAAACATGATGTTAATAAGAATTACAGTACAGTAAGAATAGTAAGAATCATCACAAGACAGAGAATCAGAGAACGCTGTCTGTGTATATAAATGTATATGTATATATATGTGTGACATATACATAAATAAATAATGCATATTTACACATACATAAAACATCACACATTGTGGGACTCAGTTCCGTGGGTCAGTAGTAAAAATCGGGACTATTTAGAGGAATTTCCAGAAAAAAGGCAAGGGCCAGAAATGTAGTCTATACACAGTGCACAGATGCATAAATACTGCAACATACAAAACATGTACAGTCTATACACGTCTTTGCATGCGTGTTTGTAAGTGTGCGCATCTTCGTTTACGCGCGTAGTGTGTGCTTCCGTACGTGTATCCATGCACGTACGCTAGCATGTTTGCCCCCGCGACCACCTGCCTCCCGTCGGCCATTAGGCAAACAAAAGAGAGCGCGAGGGCAATCAGGCGGCGCCATTAAAGGGAGGAATCCAATTACGGAAATGGGCCCCGAGGTGACGACGGCGACGACCCCGGGGAGGAGGAGGAGGAGGAGGAGGAGGAGGAGGAGGAGGAGGAGGAGGAGAAGGAGGAGGAAGAAGAAAAGGAGTCCTGCGAGATCCTTGGGCGGCGAAGGGAGGCATCGGTTGGCAGACGTGAGTTGGGCCGAAGAGGGAGGATCAGGGGGGAGGTAGGAAGGAGGAGGAAGAAGAAGAGAGGGAAAAGGAGGAGGAGGAGAGGGAGGAGGAGGAGGAGGAGAGGGAGGTTGAGGAGGAGAGGGAGGTTGAGGAGGAGAGGGAGGAGGAATAGGAGGAGAGGGTGGAGGAGGAGGAGGAGTGGAAGTAGAAGGAGGACAGAGAATAGGAGGAGGAGGAGAGGGAGGAGGAGGAGGAGAGGGAGGAGGAGGAGGAGAGGGAGGAGGAGGAGGAGGAGAGGGAGAAGAAAAGGAGGGGAGGAGGAGGAGGAAAGGGAGGGGGAGGAGCAGAAAGAGGAGGAGGAGCAGGAAGAGGAAGAGGAG